GCACGTGTCAAAAACATGAAAACAATTATTAAAGAAGAAAATCAAACAAGACACTTCTGTTTAACCTTTTAGTCGAAGAGAAATAAAAATGGGAAAGAAAAGGCACAATTGGAAAGCGAGGAGCGTTACAGAAGTGGAAATTGACAACTCTGGGACTAAAAAGGTATCATCACAGATATTCTATTACCACAGACACTTCGTATTAAAACATTTTCTACGTAAGAAAGATCATTAATACTATTTCTTCTGCGCAGATTGCTTTAGACATAAAGCACCATGCAGACAATTACGATACTTGTAACACCTTAGTTCTTCCCAATAAGAAAAGAAAAACTAAAAACAAAGTACAAAAAGTAACTGTAACTCGATTACTGTCCAAAAAACGCAGGAAACAGCTGGAGAAGGTTGTCGAGAAGAAGCAGAAGAAGTTGCGCGTAAGTCTCTCAACATGCAAAACATTTCTTTCATTGACCAAGAACTTTATACTCTATTTAAAAACAGAGAGCTACGCTGTTAGAAGAACTGGCAAAAGTGCAAGCACCGCAAGACGAGTTGAAGCAGTATTTATCATTGACAACTGTGCAAACCAAAGGCTTAAAGCGACACTTTAGAGAAGCAGAATTGCCTACAAAGGTGTACAATGAGAAAATTAAGAATGACGAAACTGATGGCATGGAAATTGTAAATGCTATTAAAGGAAGCAAAAAGAAGAGGCTAGCTATTTTAGAACATGAAGAGAAAAGCAATGTTTCCTCTGACCCAAATATTGTTGGATTCGATGTAAGTCAATGATAAGAGCTTGTTAATTGCTACAAATACTAATATATGTACTTGTTTTAGGAATCCAGCAGCGAGTTGGATTCGAATACTGAGGATGACGAATCTGAACAGGCAGAGATTGCTTCAGAAAATGAAAATCAACCTGAAAATGTCGAAAAAGATTCTTTGGTGAAAGAAAATAAATCTTCTGAGAAGAATATACGAGAGAAAGAAGACCCACCTGTCGCTACAGTAGACAAGATCTGTCCAAAGTTACAAAATTCAGCAGACAGAAAGCCTGCTATCTTTGTAGCATTGCAAAGGAAGCCAGAAATCCAAGCAGCTAGATTGAAGCTACCAGTAGTTGCTGAAGAACAAGCCATTGTAGAGGCAATTAATGAAAACCCTGTTGTAATAATCACTGGTGAAACAGGAAGTGGTAAGACCACTCAAGTCCCTCAGTTCTTGTATGAAGCTGGTTATGCTCGAGACAAACTGATAGGTGTAACTGAGCCTAGGAGAGTAGCTGCTATATCTATGAGCAAACGCGTGGCTGAAGAGATGAACCTCACTGAAAAGGAGGTTTCCTATTTGATTCGTTTCGAGGGAAATGTTACATCGGATACAAAGATTAAATTCATGACGGATGGTGTTCTATTAAAAGAAATACAAAGTGTATGTAGTTATAGAGTACAGAGTAGTTAGAATCGAATAGAATCGTTTAGATTTATCTTGATCAATTCTTTCCAGGATTTTCTGCTCACGAAGTATTCGATAATAATTCTAGACGAGGCTCACGAACGAAGCGTGTACACTGATATTCTAATTGGTTTGCTGTCGCGAATCGTACCGCTGCGCAACAAGAGAAGCAATCCTCTGAAGCTCGTGATAATGTCTGCTACGTTAAGGGTAGACGAGTTCGTAGAGAACAGTAAATTGTTCAAAGTGAAACCACCGGTATTAACAGTGGACTCGAGGCAGTTTCCAGTTACTATACACTTCAATCGGAGGACGAGCACTAACTATGTCTCTGATGTACTGCATAAAGCGATTAAGATTCATACTCGTCTCCCTGATGGCGGTATTTTGATATTTCTGACGGGTGAGCTCTCTAAATACGCAAATATTTGCGTTATTATATAGGTGTAGGTTGTGGGTTGAAATGGTTGTCGTTGTTGAAAATTCAGGGCAACGAGAGGTGAATTTTGTAGTACGGAAGCTACGCAAGATGTTTCCTATGAAGAGCAAAAAGGAAATCTGGAAGAGACCGCAGGAATCACAGAAAGAAGAAGATAACAGCGAGAACGAGGACTCGGATGATGACTTTCGTTGCAAGGAAGCCATACGTTATGCCAAACTACGACAAAAGAAGGAAATCCAATTGCCAAACATTGACCTAGACAAGTTCGTACAAGTATCCACATAAACATATTCTATTAGTCCATCCTCTTATTCAGTCTGATCCCTAAAAGTATATACAATCCATAGCTACTCTGTGATTCCTGGCGACGACACGCACGAGGACTTAATCGAGCCAGAGGATGACGAAGAAGCACAGCTGGACATGGACGAAGACGAAGACGTAGACGACGATATAATCGACCTAAAGGCTCGCGCAAATGCACAATCGTTATGGGTGTTGCCTCTTTATTCTCTCCTACCGAGTCACAAACAAGCGAGAGTAAGAAATTGCGAGTAGCTACGCGCGAACGAGTCAGAATTAAATATATTCGTTCCACAGGTGTTTGAGCCACCACCTGAAGACTGTCGGTTGTGCGTTGTGTCTACGAACGTAGCTGAGACCTCCTTAACGATACCCAATGTAAAATATGTGATAGACTGTGGACGTTGTAAAACAAGAATGTACGACAAGGTAACGGGCGTCAGTACGTACAGAGTCTGCTACACGAGCAAGGCGTCCGCTAATCAACGCGCAGGGAGAGCTGGCAGGACTGGTCCTGGCCATTGCTACAGGTGTCTATCGATACGCGTAATTTGACTGCGGATTCTTATATCTCACAAATGCATAAGTATCCGCAATCTATCATCTGAAACAACAAATGCACACGTAATCCAATTGAAAATCAACAAACTTTACTTCCAGATTGTACTCCTCTGCGGTATTCAACGACCAGTTCGAGCAGTTCAGCCAGTCAGAGATTAAAAGGAAGCCTGTGGATGATTTACTTCTGCAAATGAAGGTAATGAACATCGACAAAGTTGTGAATTTCCCGTTCCCAACACCACCAGACATCGTCCAGCTGCAGACGGCGGAGAAACGACTATTAATTCTCGGTGCTTTGCATCAGTCTCCGCGTGGTAAAGAAGGTAATGCGTTATTATAAAACGTTACTTCATTTGTAGAAGTTTATTTAAATAGTTTTGCCGTGTTTGCAGATTCGTATAACGCTAAAGTCACAGGACTTGGTCACAGCATCGCCGCGTTTCCTGTTGCTCCTCGTTTTGGAAAGATGCTGGCTCTCTCTCATCAGCACGACCTCCTGCAATACACTGTGTGCATGGTCGCTGCACTCTCCGTTCAGGAAGTACTGATAGAGTCGTACGAAACGGATAATGGTTCCAACAAGTGGTTGCAAATGAGAAGGCACTGGGCTGGAATTGGCAACAGCTTGCTTCTTGGTAGGAAAACTATATATTTTACTCGATAATATATTATATGATAATATATACAAGCGTGTACTTTGTAAAGGTGATCCAATGGTGTTGATAAGAGCTGTAGGAGCCGCAGAGTACGCAGGGACGAAGGGGAAGCTTCTCTCGTTCTGCGAGAAGCATGGCTTGCGACACAAAGCTGTGGTGGAAATTAGGAAGCTACGACAACAGCTGACGAACGAAATTAATTTGAATGTACCAGACTTGAATCTCACTATCGATCCACAGTACGTAGTTTGCTGTATTTTACCTACGACCAAGAATTACTCTTTCTAATCTTGTGTGGTTATTTAGAATGAAACCGCTAATCGATTCGAAAGCCAGACTGTTGAGGCAAATAGTCCTTGCTGGAATGGCCGACCAGGTTGCGAGAAAAGTAATGCCTGATGAAGTTAACGAGGATCAGGACAAGACCAAGTGGAAATATGCTTACAAGTAAGATTCGAAGCATACATCTTCATTAACTATTGAAGTGTAAGGGTGGAAACACCCCTTGGAAATAATTCTGTCTTTCTCTAAAATGAAAACCCAATTTTAAAAGAAAATGGTAGTATGCATTTTTTAAGAATGTACAATGTACATTGTGTATGAGTAATTTGTAATTCTACTTTCATCTTTATAAGATGGTCTTTTTTATATTTAGAACTTTGGAGATGGAAGACCCAGTGTTCATGCACTCGTCGTGCGTTCTTCGAAAATCGTGTCCCGAGTGGGTGGTTTACCAAGAAATATACGAAACGAATAAAATGTACATGCGTGGCGTAACAGCCATAGAACCCGAATGGCTGCCTAAATTTGCTCCTTCTTTGTGTCAACTCAACGAACCTTTAATCGATCCACCACCCAAGTATGTCGTTGCCATTTTTATAATAAATCAACTGCATAGCTTTTGTTATTTTTAACTGTTTGTTCGTATCGTAAAATTTTACACAGGTACGACGAAGAGACTGGAAAAGTTATGTGCTGCATAACAGGGACAGTAGGCAGAGGCGGCTGGAGATTGCCAGTAATGAACATGGAACATCCTCTGTCCGTGGAAGGAGTGAAATGGTTCGCGTGTTTTTTTCTGGAAGGCAAAGTTTGCCCTAAGTTGAAACGATTCGTTCCTTCGCTGTTGTCCACGCCGCAGAGCATTAACAAAACGTGGGCCAAGTGAGTTTTCTTTTTGTTAAAAGAGTACGGTGTAAAGAGTAAAAGTTGATAGAAACTACTTTCAATCTATTTTCAGATTAATACCACGAACGCACGAAATGACTCAGCTCTTGCTGTCTCAGGCGATCATGTCGAGAGAAAAGTTATTGGAAACTTGGGAGACGGATAGAAGTTGTGAGTATATCTTATATATATATATATATATTTCTTAGTAAAATAATTGGAAATTATTACGAATTTCAGTTCTTCTGTCTGCCTATCAAAAGTGGTTGCCGGAATCAGCTCATGCTGAAGTCACAGGCATTTGGCCACCTGTATAATAAACCATCTAAATTATTACAAGCGTGCACTTGTACATAAATTCCCCGAATTTTGTAATGTACGAAGATTCAATTCGTGTATATAAAAGCCTTAGGTATATTTTAACGATCATTTATTTCATGAAAATGCAACGTCGCATACGAGGTATATATAACGTAACTAGAAGCTACATTTCGCTGTGGATAAATATATGATAATGCAAAACATCTTATACGTGTAAACGATACTTGACACGTGGCACTTTTCGATATCAACATCATTCGTAGCAATATCTATCGCTACGATATTTACTAATCAGAACACAGTGGTACACGAAACCGCGTGTGATGGTAAAGGTACAAGGAAATATTTACAAATATTAGTATGTCGCTATAGATTAAAGTTTGCGCGAGACATCGACTGTACATACGCGTAATACATAATCCGTTCTACGTAGTAGAATCCTTCGTTTGGCAGTGCTATAGAATTGGTAACATTTGAACAAATGTTTAAAAAACACAGATTACATTAATCTGCCTTTACTGTTTTTCTCTCCTTCTTCTTCAGGAGACTCTTTTTACAATCTTTGTAAATATTGTTGAGATCGAATGCTGCCTTTATGTTGTCCTGCAAAACGACAATCTCTTTGTAAAATAATTATAAAATTAAAAAGAAAAGATAATGCAATGCACATTGTACGCACCAGTGAAAAAAGAAATTTAACCAGTTTGCCTTTGTGATCAGCATGAGGACGCCTTTCCACCTCTTTGCCTTCCTTGAACAGAATCAAGCTCGGAAGTTGTTTGCTAGTGCTGGCATCGCTGATGTGATACTTTGCCCCAGCATCTGGATATCTTCCAATGTCTACCTTCCCAAATTTAAAATTTTCCAAAGCATACCTGAAAATTGTCCATACGATATAACATCTGTAGAGGAAGAATATGTAACAATACATCACAGATAAATGCGGATAATTCAACAAACTCTGCGGATAGCTCAGAAAATATTGGCGCGAAATTGACGCAAGCTGGGTTCCACGCCGTATAGAATGCGACCAGCCAAACAACTCGTCCATCTCGTTGTAGCTCTTCCTGTAATCCATTCGCGCCACGCAGGTAGATCACATTCTCTGGGCCTTGGTATGTTGGCTCAGGGAATATTAAACCGCACACTGTAATTACATGAAGAGCTACATGAAATATAACTTGTGTGTTAAATGTAAGATTGTTATACAATAGACACATACAGATGAATATAACAGCGAACAATATCCCCATACGAATGTCTGCATAGAACCAAAGAATCAAATTGGCAACTTTGGTGTAAACAAAACTGGACGACAAGTAGTTTATCATGGTGACGCTTCCAGTTTTCCGTGACCTTATCATTATAACTATGATAAGGAAAAATAGAATCTCTGTTTCTCTCTACAAGAAAAAAGGAAAACACTTGAATACCATATCAAACTCCATATATGGATGACAGTGCTTCTCACTGGAGAAGTAAGAAAATTCATTCTAAAAGTTAAGCATCAAATAAAATAAAATTGAATGAAATTCTTGAATTTCAACAAAGTTACAAAAATAAATACTATGACAAATCTATGATTATACAGTTTCCGATAGCCCAAATAATATTTAATCCTGGCAGAAATTTTCAAGTATATTTGTCTGACAGGCAACGTGTTAAATGATAATAATTATTGGACTGTCAAACCAAGTTCTGTTCACTTACCCCATCGAGTTCGCAGTCGGTTTGCGCGAAAATGTAATGACAAACAAGCGGTACACGTTTCGAGACGATGTACGAAACGCTGAGCAGGATGTTTATCAAGTAATAGGGCTTTAACACGAGCCGCAAGTCCTTTTTAAAAGGCATCTTGAAAGAGCAAATGCGTTCAGGTTACGAGCACAAGTTTCGATTGTACGATTCTGTTCCAAGGAATAATTATCGATAAAATTAACTTGACGCAAGTCTTAAAATATTTCTTACGGTTACCATGAGCTCAATGTCTTTTCTATTTTACGACATAGACGCTCGAAGCTCTTTGATTAGGAATTACTCGTGTCGAGAAACCTTTCCATGTTTACGTGAACCTTCAAAATCGCCATCAATCGCCATTAACGAGGAGAGCGCAAGACCTTCATCGATTTCGTTGAAACTTTGTATGCTAGTAGATTTTAACGTCTTGTTTACAAAAAATATTACATAATAAGGGTAGATACTTGATGCCTTTTTAAATATATATGATCAAAGTTTCATTATTAAAAGTAAATAAGATTTTGTAACTTTTAATTACAAATAAGGTTGTATTTCAATGATAGTGTAGCGAACTTGAACGGTTTCAGCTACGGTTCAAGTCCCCCGAGGATGTATCTTATTTTTTTTCTTCAATTGAGACCTTATATAAAGTAATCAAATTTTTTATTTTTATACTTTTAATTTTCCTTTTAATTTCCGTCCGTGTCTGATTAGTATTTAAGTTTAAATATACAATGTTTATATGTAAGATGAACATTTTAAACTTTATTGTTCTAATTCTTAAGCATAACTCTTGACAAATTCTTCTGTATCATTAGATAAATTAAAGTTAAGTGTGAAAGTAAAAGTACATATATCTATTCCTTATTTACTTATTTGCAATACCCCATTACATATCGAGTACTCTTGATATCAAGAGTTGAATTTCCCGCCAGAATTTTCATCCTACGGTGGCGCCATCGGTAGCAAAACGCCCAAGCTTGTAGTGAAAATAGTTCCTCCTGTTGCCACTAGATAGCGCCACCGGTATATTTGGAAAAATTATTTTTTCGCCTTAAATACGTAACTAATACAATACATAGCCATACAAAGATGCAATATATTAGTTAGTATGGCAAATTCATCATCAGTAAGACTAGTTATTTAATTTAGCAACAAATACCGACCCTTCACTTAGTGGCGCCATCTAGCGACGACAGTGGGAAATACTTTCAATACAAGCTTTGGGCGTTTTCCCACCGATGGCGCTACAGTCGCTTCTGAAGTTCGGCGGGAAATTCAACTCCTAAATTCCTCGCGCCACCTCTTCGCATATCATGTTCTCCTGATACCAGGAGTAAAATTCTGGCCAGA